GGCATATAGATATCATGGTCAGCGTTACAACAAATCACTTAAAATTTGAGAGTAATCTGACCTTCTGAGCTTTAACAGATCTATCAGCTTAAGAATGATCACTTTGAAAGTAACACACAGAATAAGGAACCCAAATACTCCTGTTCTCATTTCAGAGGCTGGTGTTTAAAAAAAAATGCTGAACCTTGGTCAAAGTCGCACAGTAACTCAGTGCTGAGAACTTGAAAGGACTCTGAAGTCCTGACTTCCAATATGACCAGCAGGTTACAGTTTCTGAAATTTTTAGCTGCACAGCAGCCCTTTTACCTTCAGTTTTATGGAACAAAAAAGGAAAAAAACTTCCAGATTTTTGTATAACAGCCTGCTCCTAGTCCCGTCCCCAGGAAGGGCCTTTGCACGTGCAACCCACAGGGTAGTACTGCTAAAGCATTGCTTTTTTCTAAGCAAAGTCCCATAAGTAAACAAGGGTGATGGTGACAGCAAAATCCAGTCTACGCTCACTCTCTGTTGCAGGTAATTTTCAGTGACAAAAATGAGATCACTTTCTAAAGCTTTAAAGTAAACAAGAGGAATTCTGCCTAGGGGGAAAATGTCTTCTTTCTTTCGTTGAGGTTTTTGGTAAACCGAGCCTCTGAGAATTTCCTGTGACAGTATGTGCTGAAATGCAAAATGGAATGGATTTGCTGAAAGCAGCAAGTAAGCAGACCATTTGAAAGAAGCATCTCACCTTCCTCTCTGCACATATTGGGGCTTTTAATGTTTACTTGTTGGTGTTGTTAACAGCCCCACTTTTGATCTATGAGGCCACAGGGAAGAGCTTGCAAGTTCCCTTTTGCAGACTACTGACAACCTGCCCCACCAGCTACTGTGATTTCTATGAGGTACTTCAAGACAGCTAGATACTATTATTTCCCAAACTCCAATCTTCATAGCAGTCCCCTGTAAGCTCAGAACAAAGCTCAGGAGGACACCAACACAGTGATGGGGAAGTCCTCAAGACAACCTGAGGATCTTGAGCAACACAGAGCTCACCAGGCCATGTGGCCACTCTGATGTACTCCCAGTCACTGGACAAACTGAGTCACTGGACAAGCAGTGTCCCTGCTTCAGAGCTGTCAGTCCCTTTCTTGGGCCAAAAGAGTGACTGCTGGTCCTCCAGGCCCCATATTTCTGTGGTAGGAAGGGAAGAATAGCAGCTTAGCTCCAAGGGATCCATCACTGCAGCAGTAGCACAAATGCCTATGAAAGCTTCACCTTTATATATTACTGCCAGGGAGAAATCCTAGCAATCCACAGCAGAGCCAGTAGCCCTTTTTCATCTCTTTGCTCCTCTGCTGATGCTGTATGAGAGCTCAGCAAAAAACCATCCCACAAATAGCAGCCTATTTGCTAATGATGGGGTAGAGCTAAGTGTGTTTATCCCTTGCTGACCCATTCTGGTGCAATAGAAGCTCCTGCTAGGGGTGACCTGGAGAAGCTGGCTGAAGGGTCCTGTGACCCTTTACTGAGGTACTTGCCAAACTAATAACCAATTTTAACAGTGGTGCCATGACATGATCTTGAGCAGAGATCAAGAGGGGGAGCTGTCTGCAGAGCCAAGCCAAACACTGTGGGCACAGCTCCCAGGAGAAGAGGCATCAGAGCTTGTGCTCGGCTGGTTTTCTTTAAAGAGGCAGTTCCAAAAAGCGCCTGTGATTTTCACAGCCAGTCCTATTAATATAATCCTGCCTAAAACTGATGGGTCATCCATCCTGAGATCCTTTTCTTGATAAATCCTTGGAAGGCACAAGCCAGGGCAGGGAAGCTCTCAGAAGCCTCAGCCAGCTCTGCAGCAAGGCTGCAACCCAGGGCATGCTGCTACCAGCAGCTCAGTTCCTGCAGCATGAGAGGAACTGGGGAAGGAGGCTGGTCACCAGCCCATCACTCACAGAGAGCAAGACTGCAGGGTACCACTCTGTCTCATCTAGGGGAGGTGCAGGGAAACAAGGACTGAGAGAGACAACACGGAGAGGAAGAAACCACAGAAGGAAATGGAAGGGAATGTCTAGGGCAGGAGTCCAAGGGGAGCACAGGTAAGGAAAAAAGCAGGTGGTTTGAGAAAGGCAACGGGATCATTATGAAGGAAGAAATGAGGACGGATGGACAGCAGTCCTGGCCACCCAGAGCAAAGGATGACAGAAAGTCCCTTGCAGCAGTCAGCAGCCCTGTGCTCCTGCACACATGCTTCTGCCTGAATTTCCACTGCAAGGCGCTCACACACACTCTGGAATGGGCTTCACCACACGAAGACTCAAAAAAATACAGTGCTGTTTTTAACTTTGCTTCATGATGGGAGTGGGGAAGAAGTCGTGATTTGAAAACCTGGGGTAGCAATACTGCCCTTGCCGTATGGTTTGCAGAGCCAAAGAGAAAAGGGCTGTGTTGTGGGGAAAGATGCTGAACAGCTCTGAAAAAGGTCTAACAGACTTATGCTTCTCTGTGACAAAACCAGATACGTCGGTGAACATACCATAAAACATTAACATATTTTGTTTTCCACTAAAACTATCACAGAAAGTTTTTCTACAAGTATTTTTCAGATTTTTTTAGGGAAGCAAAGCTCCAAAACCACAGTACTCATTCTAAAATTATTAAAGAAATTACACTTTTGTCATTTTTCCCCTGTCCCAAAAGCCTTGTTCTCCCTGTACTGTGGATGTTCTCTATAACTAGTATTTTCATTACATGGAAAAAAGCATTTTGCTATTATTATTTCCTATTATTATATCTCCCAATGACTGCAAAAAGCAAACATATGCCCAACTGAGGTGATAAAAATGGAAAATGAAAACTCTGGTTTTTTTGGTTTTTTTTACCAATGGATGTAAACTGTGAAAAAAATTTGGAAAATGTAGCTTCAGTGAGTTATCTTGTTCCAGAGCGAAACAACCTATATCTCCTCAGCACAAGACAGACATAGACACAAGGAGACAATTCTCTACTAAGAGACTGCTACTAGATTACTCAACCAAACAATAAATAATAACCTTGCTCTTGCTTTTTTTCATGCTAGCTTTTTCCATGAAATACAGGCCTGTGATGTCTGTTATTTTTAGTTGGGTTTTTTGAAAAAAAAAAAAAAGAAAAAAGAAAAAAAAAAAAGAAAAAACAACACCAGAAGGATGTCTAGTCATATTCTTGTCTCGCTTTCAATATTCTTCATCTTTACTTAATTTCACAGGCCAGGGAACAGAGATGATCCTATTCTTCCACTGAAACTAGCTCAATAGGATTCTTTCCATCCTATTTCCCAGATGTACATTTGATTTTTCTAATGTTCTCCCTGATACAATAATCCTTCAGCTTGCTGTTTTACATGGCCTCTTTTGAGCCCCTTGTCCTCCCTGCAGCAGAGCTGGAAGGCAAGGAACTGAGGATCCCTGTTTGGAGCCAGCCCCCTGCATGTTTCTTGGCCGCGCAGGCTAACAGAGGCTCTGTTGTGCTCGGCACTGACAGAAATGTACCAACCGAGGGAGTGAAAGGCAGGGGATAGATTCATATTATACAATGTTAGTGCTATCAAAATACAGCTGGGCCTAAAGAGCCTATTCAGAAGCTCCACATCATGCTTAAAAAGTAAATAAGGTGTCTCAAGCACAGCTGCCTTGAAAATGCAGTTTACTGAAACAGTTAAGACCTTTTTACAAAGTAGCAGAGGAAGCAGAGTTTGTTCTCTTAGTTTCCTTATGCACCAAAAGAAAAATGGAAGAGACTAAACTTTAAATACTGAAGCTGCATGTTTAGTTAATAACAAGAAAAATGACATAATGATATTTTGACAACAGCCAGAGGGATGCAATGTATTTGCCCTAAATGATGCAAATTAGGACTACTTTTAAAGTCTGTTATTAGGTGTGAAAGTCACCCAGGCAAACAAGCCCAGCACAAGGGATTCTGCACCACTCCTACCCCCAGAAAAGCAATTTATGGCCCCTACTGCTGTAACTCTATAACCCTCTCCCCGAGAGCAAAGGTGAAGTGTACAGACTCTGTCCAGAGAAGGACCACAGGGGAGAGGAAGATGCTGTTGTCTCCGTTCAGTCCCGGTGTTTCAAATTGCCACTGCAGAAAGCCAACTCTGAAGGTGCAAGAGCCCAAAGCAGCAGCACTCAATTCCCATGGCGTTGTCCCCACAGAATAACAAGATAGAGACACTGTAACAGTGCCAGGCTCTCACAGGGAAAACTGTGAGAGCTCTGAACTAAGCTATGGCAAGTGACCCAGGGGCAGCATGCAGGCAGCTCTGTGGCTCCGAAAGGCACAAACTCCCTGCTTCCTCCCAGGAGGAAGCTACTCCTGACCTATATTTGGCCAATATACTTTATCAAAGCAGGCAATACTCTCTACCCACATATAGGATATGACCAAGAAATGTGTCTTTGCACAGAACTCTACAGAAACTTTATTCTCCATTAACTTTGCTACCATTTGTTTCTTCATCATCTGCACATTTCATGACTTCTCTCATTAATCACTTAACTGTATTATTAAATCTGAGAAGCATTTTGATGAAATTGGGTAGGAAGGATAATTACTGTTGTAGAACAACTGCATATTAAATTTGAAATGAGCAGTCCCCCAGAACCCACAAACAAAGAACCTATCCTTTGACTTGAACATGTGTGCCCAGAAAAGGCAGCTAAGAACTTAGGTGGTTGAAAAAGGTCTCGTATACTACTGCAGTCAGCCACCTTCTTCCTCAGTCTGCTCAAATCATCCCAGTAGAGACACTGCTGTTGACCTTCTGGGGCAATACTTTTAAGTAGATGCCACAGTAAACATTTTAGCTCATTTTGAAATCTCTCGTTCTTGTGACAAATTTTTAGCCTTAGGGTAACGTGAAAAAAGACAAGCTCACAAAAAAAAAAAAAAAAAGAAAAAAGAGATGAGGTGGTTCAGAGGGAAGAGCATTGCTGCTGCTAACAGAGAAGTGACATGCCAGTGTGTTTGTGACAACTTACCTTATCCCCTGGCTGTGGTCTCATAAGAGAGACTTGATCATAGCCTCGTCGAACCAAAGCCCACAGTGCATCAAGTTTGCCCTGTAATTAAAAAAAAAAAAAAAAAAAAATTCATGACCAAGAGATTTGAGGAAAACAGCAAAAGATAAAACTACAGGTGAGTTGACCCAGCCTTTCTGTATTAAACTGTCTGCACATTTCTCCTGTGCCCTTGCCCTCTGTATAGTGCTTATCTGGATAGCCAGGAAAAAAAGAGACCTCAATGGGGTAACCTGTACCCAATATGCAACCGGCCAAATTCAGCCTGCTCAAAACTCACTGAGGATGACTGCAGTTTAATGTGAGCAACTCCCTTAAGAAGAACAATTAGACAGGTGCTACATTAACAAAAGGCAGAACAACAGAAGTACTGATGGGAGGTGAGCTGAAGCATAAAAAGCCACAAGACTACCTACCTAGGCAGGCTTTAAAATTCACAGGTACTTCCCAGACAAATCCAAGCACTGTTAAAGGGATCTGTGAGCATGGTGGGGAGGGGAGACCTCATCCCACAAAGCACTGGTTTGTGACATGGCCACAGGTTTCTGGGATGAGCACCATATGCTGCTCCCTTGGCCTGCGCTAGCCCTCTAGCTTCCTGCTCTGCAAGCAGAGATAACTGCTCTGCTCTGCCTCAAGGGTTGTGTGAGGATACATACATTAAATGACAGGGAGACACCAGATACTATAATGACACAGGAGAAATGGGGATGAAAGTGTGGAGAGACTGAACGACTTGCCCAAAGTCAAACACTATGTCTTGTGGCTGAACTAGAGGGGAACAGAGCTGAATCCCAACCCAAGGCCTTAGCCACAGTGCAATCAAAGCAAGGATAGTGCACTTTATCTGATCCTCTTTGTATGCTGCCTTGAGATGGCACAAGACAGCATCCACCCTCCCTAACAGTTCGGATATCTGCTGTTGCAATTCAGGCTGTGCAAAAGTACCTGACAATAAGGTGTGAGCTGAGGAGGGAAGATCTTTGCTCATACCCTCCAACACCCTCCACTCTTCCTCAAAAAACTATGGCAATACAGTGCCAGGTGAAATGCATGTTCCAAGAAATGGGCAAAGTTGAGGGCTACTGGACATTTTTCAGACCAGGCTCTCCCAGCTCCGCTGTAAGAAAGGCTGTGCTAAGGAAGTGAGATGTAGCAACGTGCATGACTTGGAAAAACTGAGGGGCAGACACATTACCTTGATCGGAGTATACCATTTCCGTTGGGAAGGTGGTTTTCTCACATGGGGCTTTTTCGGCTTGGGTTCCCATGGCTCATACTCCTGTTCTGGCAACTTAATAATAGCATTTTTGGGCTTCTCCAATTTAGCTCCTTCCTCTGTTGAGCCCTTGTCTCCCCATCGCACCTAAAATCAGGAGAGCACCCTCTAAGTAGAGACACTTCAACAGTCCCCATCCACACCTGGTTTTCACAGACATTAATCTATTTCCCATTAGATAACCGAATGCCACCAGACACAAAGCCAAATTTATTAAGGCACCAAACTCTCACTGTAATCAGAAACACACATTTAAGAGTCAAACAGTCTCACTCCAAAGCTGCTTGAACTACTAGCCTTTGCACCTTCCAGTAACCTAAGGTGTTGTGGGAATTCACAGCATCCAGAGCAGATTAACCCATTTCCAAGTGAAATCTGAAGCACTCTGCCCAGCTCTCCCAGGACACCGCTGTAATACACTTCCCACTGCCCCATGCAAGAAGCAGGCAGCAGCACCAGCTGAAGGCAGGTAGTCTTTAGAGCTAGGCATAAGCAGCTCCTGTCCTTCAGTTAAAAAGTGAAAACAGAGTCAGTGGACAAATACATCAACGATTTGAGAGCATCGGCCCTCATACTTGTGCAGCTACTACTAAAAACAGCTCTCCCAAAGATGACCTTGCACAGTCAACAAGAGATGTCAATAACTTTATCTTCACATACTATACACTACTTATTTCAAGAAATTCTGATTTTGTTGTCTGACTCACCTCAAACAGAAATGTGATGCTGCAGTCAAGGGCAATATATGATACATAGGGTTACTCAGCATCAAGGATAAAATCCTCCCAAGGAAAATGGTTAAAGATATTATGATGCAATGCTTCAACTGCAGACTTGCAGGGACTTGCTGAGAAGCCACTGCTTTCATTCTGTTAGCCCTAGTTTGGTCCAGATCCTCGGCTGGCTTACATTACCCCAGCTCCCTCAACTACCAATTAGATCTAGTGGGAATTTCTGGTGTGACATCCCTAGAAGTCATTATTAGGCCCTCAGCTGATGCAAGTGAGTGACAATTCCCTGCTTTATATTATCCATGGTTAGGAATACTGAATTGAATTCACTAACATGGTTATTTACAGGAGTTAGCAGCTGATCACAGCATTATACACCGACTCCCTGGAACGTACATGCCATAGGACAGCACAAGGCAAATTTCTCTCACCATAACACCTCACTTTACACATCAAGACTGGATTGTGCATGAATCCCAGGGCAGGATTTGATTCTTTGGCCAATTTCAACACAGATGTGGTTTTGTGCATTAGGAGTTAATACTTAACTGAAAACAAAACAAAACAAACCCCCAAAACAAACCCCAATGCCCCGCCCCCTCCCCAAAAAAGAAAGATGGAAAAAAAAATAAATTACTGATTAAATTCCCTAAACCAACTGCTTCCAGCCAGCCAGGCACAGTGTAGATAGCACCCTCAAATACTCAAAACCAGTGTGACTCTGCTTGAGACAAGAGGAATGGTCCCAACTGCATCGAAGGGTTTGACTCAGTAAATTAAAACTTCTTTTGGTGCTTAACCCATTTATTAACCTGAAAATTTTCTCTGGCTCATAATGCTACATTCATTTAATTATTCATGCGAATGATGGCAGCTTGATGTCTGTTACTTGGACAGCAGGTGCAATCAGGTGGAGAAGCACTAATTAAATCCCAGTCTCTAGTCCATCAAGGTAGCTTTATAAAAATAACATAAAGACATATTGCTATGATTTATAATTAAATGTGCTGATTTTTACAACACTAAAAACCAAGCCAAATACCTCCATCCTCTTAATCCCACCAACACCTCGACCTCCATAATAAGATGCATCCACAGTTGGCCATTTTTTCTTTGGCAATCCATTTTCATCATCTGATTCCTATGGGAAAGACAGTGAGATATTACTGCTGTTCTCACATAAACAGCATAAACTATGGAAAACAATTGAACATCCTATGGCCCGATCCTTGGATATCTGGTTTTGTGTGTTATACTTATTTGCTGACAAAAAACAAAAGTCTCTTGTCTCTGCAGCTGCAATTTTAACTAGAGAAGCCAAAGAGGATTGCCTATTCCTCTCTCCAGGCAGCTTTTATTTAGTCAAATATGCATTGAGCTTCAAAATCACAACTGACTTGTAAGGGAAGGCAAAGTGGAGATGAATCGTACATTATACTGGCTTGTCACTATGCTATGCAGAAAATGCAGCAATCAGTTAAGCCAAAGAAATCATTTATTAATTGCGCTTTTAGAACTTAATGTCACCTAAAAGGGGAAAAAAGCTACCACTGTAAGTTTTCTAACATGTGCATCAGGCCCTTTTCTGACGGCAGCTGTAACCAGTTATTCCACACTGCTTGATTCTTTGTAGAGTCTGGCTCAAGCTGTACATTTTGGAACCAGGACTCAAGACTGGAATATCTCTAAAGTGTCAGAAAACTCAGATCCAGAGTTTTTGATCTGCAATTATAAAGACTGCAGATTATTTTTCTGGAATGTGGGAGAGGCAGAATCAAGGTTTTACTTCAGGTTTATTGCTCTCTTCTTGCTTAACTAAAAGGTGGTAAATGTTTCTGGTTCGACAGCTCTGGGAACACAGCTCCAGCTCTATCACCTTGAGCCAATAGAAGCCACTGTGATTTCTCAGACTCCCTATCATTACGCTGAGTCGAGGCAGCTGAAAGTCACACCATGACACTCTCCAAGTACACACATAATTGAGGAAAGCGCCCAACAAGCCCCTTACAATACCATCTTCATTCCTCATGCTTTTTAATAGACACAAATAACTACACCTCATGCTGATACACAGATGTGCGTGCTGCTCTTGGACTGGCCATGCACAGTGCGCTCTGCTAATTTTCTTCAGTACAAGTATCTTTCTAGAAACACTGCCTGGACTTAGTTTTAACTAAAAAAAAAAAAAAAAGCCAAGTGAAATCCAAATACTAGAGATAGACACAAATTATTATCAGATTGCTAGGTGACATTTTAATCAAAATTGCCCTACATGTTTCTGTTTGAATGCAAAAGGAATTGAGAGTCCAAAACCCAATAATACCCTTTAAAAAAACATGCCTTAATTTTTATTTGTTCATATTTAACTTCTAGGTTATACCTTGGAGAAAGGTATTCCCATCAGTTACGCCATTTAATCTCTCAGCTATGGTTCATGGGACAGTTCCTCCAACAAATTCTTTAGTACGGTCACGCAAGATTAGAGTTGACATTTCCATTAACTAGTAAGGGGGTTTAGGTTTCATACTTTTGTTTTGTTGGTTGAGGTTTTTTGCTGTTGTTTTGTTTTTTCACCAGTTTTAATTCATTTATATTTGATTTAATTGTGAACTTGAGTACTATATGAAATATCCTGCCTTTTCCATGGGAGGTAACACAGATTTCAAGTCTTCATGTCTAACAACCCTAACTCTGTCAAGCTTAACAGTAGCAGGACACAGTTAATAGTGATGGCTGATACTTTCCAGCTGATAAAGGATTTATACCAAGTATCCCCTACACTGAACATATAGCAAAGCAACATTAACAGCTTTTAACACATTTTTTTAAAGCAATGGAAATCTAATCCTTGCTGTTTAGAAAAAGTTTTAGATAACTATATTCAGTTTAATAGCAGCAATACCAGACTACATCAGCAAAAGTGCAGGTCACCATACCTAGGGAGGCTAGTGCTAAGTGTAATGAAGCAACAATCCATACTGGACAAAGACAAGGCCAAGTAAAGGGATGGATAACATCTGTATTCTGTTATTTCTGGAGGCTTACATCACCTCACAGTCTCTCTGATTCCATTTAATATCTCCGCTGATGAGAATAATTGCAAAGCATCTGGGAACTCTGCTGCAGGGGTGTGATGCTCTCTGAAACCTCCTTCAAACACAGCATGGCTGCAATTGAATGCTTCATGACAACACTAATCACCCTAAAACCAGCATGATTTTTGGTGCATATTCTAAATTGTCACAATGCTGCTGCTCAGGACAAGCAACAGGATCACATACAGAGTAATGGTGGCCTCTGGCAACCTCAAAACAGCAGCTGTAGTTGCCTCCTGATATTCATTGCCAAGTTACAGCAAGTTAGCAGCAAACTCTAAGCTTCTCTTCTGGGTTAAGCAAGTATTTTTCCATCATTTAACTGTCTATGCCTAGGAAAGAACCAAAGGCAGGCATGAGTTTTCTCTGGAGGTAATTTATTTATTACTATTATTTTAATGAAATTAGTACAGTGAAACTAAGCTGAGGTCAGGGTCAGTGAGGTCAGTGTCAGTGTGTTACTATCCCAAAAAGAGCTAAATACAACACTGCCTCAAACAGCTCACAACCTAAATGGAGAAAGGCTAAATGTCCTTCCAAAGGTCACTCTGCAGCAGAGCCACAGCCAGGGCAGGCTCTTGTCTCCCTCTCCTGTAGCAAAGCCACCAGAATGTGACCTTCACTGTCCTTTCTTCCAGCTGCCAATCTGGGCTAAACTCCTGCTGAGAACAACAGCAGCTTTACTGGAGGAGAGACAACTTTCAGCACAGCTTGAAAAGCAAAGGTTTGCCTACGCGCCTGTTTGATGCGCAGCAGAAGGAACAAGATACCATAGGAATGCCTGGTCTGTGGACTTCTGAGTTATGCAACTGTTTTCTCTGTGGATGGAAATAATCTTGCTGTGTGTATATAAAGAGACCAGAAGGCAGAAATAACTGTCCTGACCCAAGAGACTTCCTCTCACAGCTTTCAAGGTGTCATTAAGACACCTACAGGGCTGACGTTCCTGGGCAGCACAATACACTACGGTGGCTGCAGACAGTGTAACAGCTCAAAAATAGCACACTTACAGGCTCTGGAGGCGGCGGTGGCGGCGGCTCCTTGATCACCTGGAATAGATAAACAGTGGGAGAAATCTGAGATAGTGGTAGGGTTCATCCATCTCAATGCTATGTTCTCTCTTCTTTCTTGCTCATATCACAGATGGGTTGCCCTGCTCAATTCCCCCACATTCAGTCCTCTCATTAGCCCCACTGTTTTTCAGTGGGCATAAAATAAATGCAGATGAGAAGCTAAATCCATCACATGATTAGTCAAGTGCCCTATTAAGTAACTCATAATACAGCTCCATATTCTGGTAGTTCTGCCTTAAAAAATGTCATATAATTAACAAGCCAGTGCAAAATATTCTCTTAGAATAAAAAAGAAAGCATAATTCTTGTCTTTAAAAAGGACTGTAACAGCTTACACACATACTAGTGAATCAGTTCCATTACACTTTTCTGCAGCAGGTTTCAAATCTTGTTCTAAGATGTTCTCGATCCCTGCAGAAGCTTGGGCCATATCCATGAGCTCACTTAAACTTCTAATTCAGTGTAAAAGTCACGCAGACCTTGCAACATTCAAAAACCCAGACTAGAGGGACTTCAACAAGCACTTTAAGCAGTTTGTTGAATCAGGGTCTTACAAGCCTGGCAGCATTTTTCTTAAACAAAGTTAACCACCCATTCCAAGAGTTTAACTAACTCTCTGCTTTCACAGAGAAGAGATGAAACCAAACCAAAAGAATAAAAGCCTGTACTTACCACCGTGCAGCAAAGGGGCCAGAACCACCACAGAAGAGCCAGAGCCAGCAGCAGAAAAAGAATCAGGAGAGCAATGAAAAGGATGGTCCCAGTCAGCTGCAAACAAGATGATTACTTCTGAGTTATCTGCATGCGTCACATACACAGCAGGAGCTCTGAAGTTAAGTTACCCAGTTAGACTGGGCAAAACGAGACACGTTTCCCCTCACTACGAGGTCTCAGATAGTTTGTACAGACAATCAGTATTATCATTAGATTCACACCAGTGTATCATTAGATTCACACCAGTATTTGGTGTGACAAATCTATATCTGAAGTAATGATTCAGGGAAGGCACCTCCTGTTTGTGGTGTGTATATGTATAATTTGTGTATAGATTTATGGTATGTTTATAGCCCACAAGATTCAAAGGTGTTAAACTCACATACGAACTACTCCCAAATCTCTGCTGACAGATCTGTTAATACTGTCAGAGGGGCATTGCAAACTATATGACCACAGATTCTCAGATATGCAGAGTAAGCTTCCATCCCTAGAGATGCAGAATTCAATGATATTCAAAATGGGAATATTGGAGCTCAGAGCTTATGGGTAACTGTTTGCATGTCAACACCACGTAGCAGAGCACAACTTAGACACTTAGCCTGATCAGCTCCCAAGCCTGCCTCTATTGCCTCAAACTGCACACAAAACCCCAGGCTGAGTAATTACGCAAACTAGTCCTTAATGCTGCTGGTTCTTCATATGCTTCCTAGGGCTGGTTTGACTGTTTTTAAACACATGCTGTAATTATGATCTTAGGCATGTCTAATTCTTACATTCCACCTATTTCTTTGCAGAGAATGGTAGGACTCTGGGGCTGGATAGCTAAGGGTCTACACACAAAATACAAATCTAATTTTCTTTCAAGTTACTAGAATCCAAAAAATTTCAAGTGATAACACTTGAAATTTGCTTTTCAGAGCAGCCAGGCAACCAAAGAGAATCACAGCTCTGATTTTCTTGGGTAAGTTTTGATGGATTCTTTGCACTTGGAGCATTTAATGTCAGTGTGTTCAGAAGAGGTATTAACTTTGTGTATTGCTTTTATGATTACAGGAAAGCAGGTCTTCATATGCTGTTTGGCCTCTGCAGAAGCACATGGCTTTTTGGAAATTAAACATTTATTGCAGATGGCAGCGGCATGCTGGGCCATGCTGTTTCCTTGGACTGCACTGGGCTCTGGGATGAGGTTAAGATTAGTGCTGGTGCTTCAGCCATTTCTTTTATACTGGGAAAAGAAACCTCTTCAGTGGTAGATTTTCTGAGTTTGAGAAGAGGTTCAATTCACCAGCAACAGGGGTACCAGAGAACAAGTGAAACCTTATAGCAAACTAGAGAAGAGCCTGGGACTAGGAAGATGTGAAAAGAGCTTGAAGAAAGGTCTGTGACTCAGGCTGAGGGAATAGAAGCTGGCTAGAGAGGAAGCTGCAAGAATTTCCAGAGAAGGACAGGTAGGAGGAAAAATGCAAAGACAGCAGATTCCAAAGAAGATCTATGGAGCATAAAGTCCATTAAATTCACCTTATTAAGTCTGAAACTGCTTGCTGAATTGCCATGACACCAGAAACTGATGCTTAGCCCCTTCTTAAAACAGGAGTTCCCTTCACTGCTCCTGGGTTTGTTTTCCCCTTTGACAATGAAAAGGCTGAGGGTGGAAAAGAAAGTACCAGCTGACAAGAGCTTTGCAAAGTCTGGGTGAAATCTTGAGTGGCCGGGTGGTACCTAGTTCCTTCTCAGGCCAAACCCTAGAGCTGTGAGGACTGACATGTTCAAGACGAGCCTAACACAACCACAGCTCCTACTCCACGCTTTTAGGCAGGTAGCCCAGTATCCCATATCTCCATGTCGCAGCATCACCATCCTTTCCACTGTTTTATAGCTTCTTGTTATATATGCAACAAATTGACTTGTTTTGGGATACACTATTTAGCTCATCTCATTCATTTGGTCAGGGAGCAGCTAAAAGCCAAGGTGGAGTGCTGTGACACGTGCCAGACCCCCTGCTCAAAGGGGTCTTCTAATGAAGACACACTGCCCAGATGCGTTCAGTGCTGCAGCCCCCCTCTCTGGCCCCATGTAGCACTAATGCCTCTGGAAAGTGGACACTTGGGTGGCATGAATACCCAGTGAAGTCAGTTTGCTGAGAAAAGGATGAGTAATCAAAGTCAAGCATAACTTCAAGAGGCTTTGCTGCACTCCTTAAAAACAAATCCAAGCACAGCACCAGTGCAGTGCATGAGCCACAGATGCACATATCACTCCTACTCTTACTCCAAACACATATTACCTGCTTGTTTTGCAGCCTTTGTTCCCAGGCGTTGCTTTTCCCATGCTAAGTGCTCATATAAATCGCTGAGACATTTGCCAGCAGCAGCGCAGGAGCTGCTGGCAGCAAGAAGCTAAAGAGTTTGCTTTTAATGATTACATATACAAAGCATTGTAGTGAAGCTGGACTTCAAAAAGGAAGTAGCAGACTTCATGCAGCTGAACAGAAATAAGCACAGGGATCACACAGAAGCTTTAGGAGTAAAATGAAGATACTTACTGTACAGAAAGGACAGAAGGGCCAGCTGGGGAGGAGAGCTGAGCAGGCCAGCTAACTGCCACCCACAGAAAAGGAAACAGGAGAGGAAAGGAAATGGAGGGAGTCTCTAAAACAAGAAGAGTGAAATCCATGAAATTAAGACAAAGTTGGAAACTGAACTGCTAGCCTCCCTGCTTATGCGGATGTAACTGGAGTGAGACAGTCTTTTTTTTGTACCAGCTGAGAATCAGGCTCCCTGCTTCCTTCACATTCAATCTGCAAGAGGCTGGTCAAACATTGTCAGATTGACAGGACTGGAGATTGGATTCCTCTCTTTATCCTAAGGCTACTAAGAGGAAAGCTTCCTCCGTCCATGTACTGACCTGTAGGAAGCCCAGCTAGAGCTAAAACTTCAGTCTTCATCAAAATAAACTGCATATGGGTAACTAAATGCACCAGTTAACACTTATGTTTCACTGCAGATTTGAAAGGTTTTATTGTACCTGAGATAGAAGAGAGGAATGAATGTTAAAGTATCAGTCTTCAGTGTAGAAAATTTGTAGGAAAGCTTTCAAAAAATAAAAATAATCAGGTGAAGCAGCAAACACATCTCTGCTAAACTCTGAGTCCCTGCATCCCAGACTGTTCCAGCAATCTGGTGTGAGATTTCCAAGCTTCATTGCTGAAAACATCAGAAAATCAGATTTGCACATTCCAGTCACTGCCTCTATCTTCATTCCTGCCCTTCTGTTCTGCAGCTGTCAAAAAGGCCAAAAATGATTACAAACCAATATGACAGCATTTGGCGTAGGCTATAAAAGTCCTTTGACACTAATAACAACAAAGCTCAACTTTGATACAAAGTGTTTGCTATCAGGTACTTCAGCAAGTGTTGTTTAGTCCATAAGCACAAGGACAAATTTTTAGCTACTGTACTTGCTTGCACCAACTATGGGCATTGCCTATTTTTACTTCAAGGCAAGAAAAATGACTGCTTATCTAGTTAGCTAGCTTCTTCATTTTGATTGTTTGATTCTAAAATCAGATTTTGATAAAGGATTACTTCTAGCTGTCGGTCCCTAACACTCCACCTGGGGATAGGTGGTCCTTTTGACCAGGAGATGCTCATATCACAGTCACTGCTGTCCCGCAGCAGCATGTTCTCCCTCAGCTGGGCTGAGCAGCAGCCTTTTATCAAGAAGCTCATCCCAGGATCTGAGGCTGCTATCTCTTTCTGGTCATCTCCCATGACATCAAGAGAAAAGCAACGAGCTCCTGTCACTAACACTGTAAAAATGCCTTAGCAAATCCTGACCTAGTAAATGCAAATTGTGGCGGTCTAAGAACAAATGCTGTAACCTCCAACCAAAAAGTAATTGTGCAAATTTAGAGGACCTTCCATGCTGTGCCCCTTCCAGATCCAAGTCCTGGCAGTTGCACCTTTCACCCCAGATCCCATAAGGGATCCCAAAGTTCAAGAGAGTGTTGCTTACTGATACTCCTTCCTTCATTTTCTCTTCTAGTCAGATCCTAGCTTTAAGGATCCCTTAAGGAATGGGCAGGGTGCCTTCTGTTGTAATTTTTTATTCAGTAAATCTATCATGATCTATGCATCATCAATAACAATTTAATCTTAACTAGCCCTGCTTATTTTTCAAAGAACTGCTGGGATACAGTCAATAACTGTGATGCAGAAGCTGTACAGAGCTCATGTTCACTCAAGGAAGCTTTGCCTGAAGAGCCACCGTCTCTTTCCAAGATCTCATGGTTTCTCTGTCAAGCCCCATTGCAATTACTTACACACTGTGTGCTGGTGATGCTGACAGAGCTGGAGATGAACGTTAGCCCGTTGTTCATGCTGACTTGTAGGAAAACCACCCTAAAGCACAAAACAGATGCACTTATTTTTAGTGTCATCTTTATACCCATTGTTCCCTTTATTCTGGCTGTGTTTTAGCCATTGGCTCGTGAACACACATGGATAAAATGTCCTGTTGAGTCAAGGCATTTTCATGGCTTCAGGTGCTTTACCTGCGTTTGTCTTTCTGCTTGCCCAGGAGCTATTCTTTTTATATTGGCTTAATTGAGTTGGGGCATATGCTCTTTATTAAAAAAACCCCATAACCTCCATCCCACCTGGGGCAAAGATCACTAGGACAGTGAGTTATAACAGACTCAGACATTTGCAATACTACCCTAGATAGCACAAGAAACTTTAAGTGGTTTTTGTTTTTTTTTAATTTAATCCCCTTCTGCAGCTTAAAGAGCCAGAATGTGTTTTAGTTTATACCCAAGTAAATCCAGAATATCTGCACTGAGATCAAGAGGTAAAAGCACTGAAATGACAGTGAAATTAAAGAAGAATCTGGCCCTAGCCATTCTCCAATATCAGAGAAATGGTCCGAGGAAAAAAACCAACAACACAACCAAACAAAATAACCCACAAAAAAACAACTTTCCCTCACCCACAAACAGGAAAGGGGAGGGAGGCATTCCCCCTCACCCCCAGTGAGCACCCACAAGGTAACCCAGCGGGATGGCAGGGCCCTGTGCCATGTCTCCCAGGAGTCTGCAGGATTACAACAGCTGAAAAATACCAAGACTAGCCAGAGAAGGGTGAAACACAGGAAGCAACATCTGCAACAGCAGCAAAAGAATTCAAGTTAAGAATCTCTTTTCAATCAAAATTAAAAGTCTGCCTGGAATTAAATTACTTTTTGTTCCGAAAAAAACAGGATATAGGAACAGAGGAGAAATCACCATTCTATGACATGGGACCATGGTCCAACAAGGCCTTTGGTTAAGCTATGCTAAAGATCCAACATTGAATAGAGGTATGCTGGCTCCTACTAGGAGAGGATTTGGCACAAAGGGGATGGAGGTAATCCTGCCACACACACACACACACACACAAAAATTTATCAGCTTCCCACTTTGGGCAAAACTCTGAGCCCTTGGCTCTGTACTAACATCCTCATCCAGAAGTCTCCTCTCTCTTGACATGTACTGGAAAGCAATACTTACTGTCCAGCATCTTCTATCACTGGGGCAGGACAAAGTAAGTAAGTATCGTGAACAAGGGTCGGCTTTTCATCTGAAAAGAAATTAATATAACTGTCAGGGATGAAAAAAAGAAATTGTCCCAAGCAGGCCACCCCCTGGAGAAGCAGTAACACCAATGAGAGCCACAGACAAATTCAGTATATAGGCAAGTACTGATATTCCCCAATGGTACTGATTACAAAGCCAAGTACTAGGATGACCATTCTTGTTGATGTCAGTATAACGTTCCCAGGCTAGAGATGCCACAGTTAAGAAATGGAAATATATCTCTGTTCCTGACACCAGTGATCAGACATTTTAAAGCCAGCTTTGAGCAATATTCCTCTTGTCTATCTGACAAGTCCATGCAAGCTCTACTCATACTGAATACTCTGACACCACAAATTAACTCAAGGGATCAAAAGTTTAGGGTTAAATTTTTGCCTACCTACTTCTAAACACACACACCCAGGAAAAGTCAGGGCTGCACTGTTTGAGCCCAGGGAAAAGGAAGGACAGAGATGAGGTAGAGCTGAAGTGAACGTCAGAGGAAAAAAAAAGAACACTGTGGCTGGTCATATACGGGAGACAGGCAGAGAGGGACCATAACTGATGTTACTGTGAGGACCTCTGCTGCACTAGCTGCTGCTTTTCCTGTCCTGAACCTCCCCTCTGTGGCAGTATTATCCAGAAACAGCCCATGTTCATAGAGGTCTGGTGCAGGCAGAGTCAAAAGCAGGGCCATAGGTGTTTTCCTGCCTCCCTGCACTTCGCTGTTCCAAGAGTCAGCAGTGCTAATCCTGCTGCTTTCAAAAACCACATCCAGAAAGCCAAATCCCATGAACACAGAGAGGAGGCTCAGCAGTAATCTCACAATATCACTCCACTAGATGTAAGCTGAGGTACAAGAGCTGACAACTCACTGCTGTGACCGCATCTTAGCTCCGAATGGCCCAAAGCAGCTAAGGTGCTAGTCCAGAGAAAGACTGGTTCACAAAATTCCAACCCAAGTGAATTAGGAGCTGGTAAAAGCTGACAGCTTAGTTAAACCTTAGAGGCTTGATTACTCTTTCTACTTAAGAAAAAAAAAAAATCACTCAAGCAACAGTTATGAACATTGTTCTTTAGTGCTTCACCCACCCCAAGCACACCTGAAGACAAAGCTCATTTCCTTCTTTTGGCAGAGATGAGACCATGGAAGTTATAGTGAAATGTTTTAGGGTCAGCCCAAGGGGGGGGAAAAAAAACAGTGAGCATATATCAGTGTCACATCATAACATCTGTTGCAGACCCAACCCAAGGAGAACACAGCACAAATGAGATGTGGAACTTGGGTAGTTTTCCTCTTGCATACTTCCAGGCCTGGGTCAGTACTCTCTGTGTGAAGTCCAGTCAAGGTGCCAGTACATTAGGGATGAGGAAGAAAAAAACCAAAAGCCTGTCTACATGGTAAACCACAAGAAACAAATCCCTGACAAAGGGCATCTGTAAGCGGAATGAGAGCGAGACCACCAGAGTTTATTTAATGCAGCCTCCACATGGGCAACTAGGATGGGAAATGAAGAAGCAATTCATGTGCTCCCTCTTGTAAGTGAATTCAGTGCAAGGGAAGGCACCAGTCTGACCACGACAGGATATGAAAGCCTCTACTGTGCTCAGCCAACAAGGGTAGCATACACAAAAAAGGAGCAAAGCTCCCCTCCCCATACTGTGCTTCATTCTGCCAGACATACACTGCTTCTTGGAAATAAGAGAGGACTGCTGAGAAACTGGGTGCTCAATCTTTTTTGGCCGTTCAGGCCTTTGCCTGGCTGCTGAGGCAGCAAACAAAAGATCCGGTTAAGCACAGCAATGACAGAGAGTTCCCACGTTACATGCGCGCTGCAATGAGACCAGCAACTGGCATCAGAGGAACAGAGCAGGCCTGGGAGGACCCTGCTTTATGGTGAGTGTGTCCTGAATTGGTGAATAAAGAGTCTGAAGACATCACCAGAGAATCGAGATAGCATTATTTCTTTTTACTGATGATGAACAATGGAATAGGGAGCAATTTTATTTCTCCCTCTTAAAAACTGACACCCAGTCCTCACTGGCTGTATGCATCACCCACGTGCACCATTACAGTGATGCTGAAATTCACTGTGCAGCAGCACACCCCGTGTAAGCCCTCATGACACAATGCCCACAGGTGACAGGACTGAGTAAAGATGCATTTCAAGCTTCAGTTAGATGCAGATCCCCACTCAGCTCCCCCTACATTCATTGCAAGGACTCCTCCAATGTGGACAAGAGGTGGACTGTGTCACCTCTGTCACTCATAAGGTGACACAGTCACATAGGGCACTGGAATCCACCAGCCTGCAAACTTACTGATAGTAAGGCTGTCGTTGAGCTTGAAGCTGCAGAGTACCTGGTCGATATTTCTTGCATAATAAAAGCCGTTGCCTCTTACCACAACTTGAAATGATTCTGTAAGTAAAAATACAGAAGAGTAATGAAAAATAATTCAGATGCAGTGTTTCCTTCCAGAGTGATCTGAATTACATGACAATGGCTGTTCTCTGCCCTATGCCTGAAACAAAACATTCACGTTGACACTAAATATTCAGCAGCAATGGTCAAGAGTGCTATAGTGGCACTGGTGCTTCACAGAGCAGCATTTGTCTCACAGTTGCTCTCACAAGCATCCCATTGACCCCCAGTGCCTTCATTAAAAATGTCACAGTAATACTGTGAGCCTGACATGGCTGATGTCACCTTATGGTTCCTCCATGGCTTTTGGGCCAGACACCTCTGGTAATCACAAGCAACAGTATTTCCTCCTATCTCCACAGCAGATTGCACTTGGGTTTCAGCAGCAGCTCTGTTCAGACAGATATAGACAAACAGGACTCCCTTCATAACCCTGCTGTGATTCAGAGAGGAAGCTCTGCATCTGGTACAAGTCCTGGAAAAAATACAGACTTTCAGTCCATACAAAAACTGGGCCTGTGCACAGCCCCATTAGCATCTGCTGCACATGGCAATAACTAAAGACCCAGGTGCTGCAATTTTCTTTGTGCTCTTCCCCCACACCCCTGCCCCAGCAGCAGAAACCAGCAGACCTTCCACATCAGACACACTGTCTGCTGGCCAGAGCAAGCACTCCTGAACCCGCCCATCAGCTTCTGTTGCTTCAGTCCTGATGGCAGGGCAAGGGGGGTGGGGGGGTGGGGGGAACCTGTGATTTTGGTCATTGCTGGGATAAGCAACTGTGATTTGTTCATTCAAGCAGGAAAAGCATTGTCAGTTTTTTCAGCTAACCCTTCAATGGTTTCACATCTGAATAAAGCAAATCTAGGAAGGCTGCTGTCAGAAGTGAGATCCCAACTGCACATGCCCTCCACTCTTGGCACCATGATCACATTGCAGTGCACTGAGCTTGCCCACATACTGAAAAATAACCCTCTGTTCGTTGCCAGAGAGATCAGTAAGGTGATCTGCTTGGCTGAGCATCTGCTGGGAATAGAAGTGTGTAGGAAGCAAGGGACAGAGACAAGTGGTGGTAGCATCAGGTGAGTTTATGTCTCTTATGAAACTCCCTCGAGTCAGTGTACTCAGGACAGTTAGAAACAGCAAAGGTAATTTGCAGAAGAAGGTATTAAGAAGTCTGGTTTGGTTTCTCAGCTTCTCCACAGTAAGCTTTTAAAATTATTTCTTAGTAACCTACATAGGTAACACTTCTCAGAGCTCTGATAACAGCAGAGCACAACTGTTTGTTGATCTTCCTTTTACTTTACACAGGTGGAGCCCACCACCCAGCCACAGTCTCCCTCCCCTTGGGGCCAGCCCGAATTGCCAAGCTAGGCAGAAGATACACAAGGAGGTGGAAGTGGCAAAGGAAAGCTCCCTCTAGGTGACAAAATGCATTGTAACTGCTACACTGACCCCAGAGACATCTTTAATGCAGGAAGGTGGAGAGACACATCACAAATTTGTTCTATGCCAAATGTGTTTTTGAAACTCCCTTTGACGGTATGCACAAGAAGCCATCTGACACCCACGGCACACAGCAAGGGAAAGCCCAGTTGTTATGCTTTCACACATTGATCTCCCACTTTATCTGAATCCTCCACAGCTCATAGAATCATAGACCTTAAAGATCATCTAGTAAAGATCATCTAGTTCCAACCCCCCTGCCATGAGCTGTTTATACCAGCCACTGAGCAGCTTTTGAGACCAACACAATACCAGGGGGATACCAACACAACACAGGACCGATTAATTTTCAAGCTACTCATAGAAAAGTAAGAATAAACTGCATAAAAGTTCCCCACTAGCAGCAGGTAAAACCATGAACAAGTCCACATGCGTTATCAATTATACTTTGACAAACATACTAAAAATTAGAAGAAAACAATGTTGATAGGATTGAGGGGAACAGTATCTAATTTTTAGTGATACAAGATCTAGCTTTTGATAACATTTCATATGATGCACTGCCACATTATTTATATGCTTTGGAGGAAGGACTTGTTATTACACTACATGAGGCCCAAAGGTGGCTGAAATACATATTCAGCTTAGTCTGCCTGCTCTTCACTATCAAGTTACTGCAAGGCAAGCTAGCATGAGGATGTAGAGTGCTTTAACTTTTCCATACAAACAGCTTGTTCTTGCCAAAACCACGTTCTCACTACGTTGAGTTCTATTGCAACTTCAGTGAGTTGGACAAAGGTACGGACATGTTACGATCAAGCACTGGAAACCCACGCCCTGGTTTTCCTCATGGTAACTTTCCCTTAGAGCAGTGCTCTGAACTGACACAGGCTGCAAGGCATATGGGAATCAGAGAAGATATTTTGGGAGGGGAAAAAGAAAATATTTACTGGAGTTCATATTAAAGTGAAACACATGCTTTGGCACTTTGCTGAAGAAAGATGATAAAATTTGAGACCTCATTGAGCACATCAAGAGCCAAACACACAAAGCCAGCATCAGAAGTTGGTCCTTTCTTTTAATGGAAGGGTTATACCTCCTGGGTTCCACTGAGGGTGGAGAGCACTTCTTTAAACAAATAAAAATAGACTGTAGGGCAGATTCAGCTGCTTCTTACTCCAGTAAGAATCTGGACTTTAAATCTGATTCATGCCTTGAGCCACTCCACATTTAATCCAGTTGATATGTTGAGAGTTATTCTTGATGAGCATCCCTTTGTTTGCCAGCAGAGCTCAGTCATGGCCAGCCCTGAGGGCAACCTGGCCTCTGCCCACCAGCCAGATCTACCTGCCTGGGACCACACCTTACTCTAGACTTGCTTGTAGCCAGCCCACTGCACAGTGATCTAAAGACTCAGCTAAGATAACTACTTTTTGTCTCTCAATTTTATACTATAAAAGTAGCTTGCTACACATGAAATTGCAGGTAGTTTATTTCACACCCCCCCACACCTCCTGAACAGATGGTCTTAAAAACAGCAACCCCAAAGGCTTAACTGATAGCTGTTGCCACAGTTTTAAAAAGAGGCAGCATGTAAGAGACTTTCAACACAAAACATTAAAGGTAAAAGTTACATCTAGAAGTTTAGTCTTGTCAAGATAGTTTACCTCTCCTGCCCTTGTTTCCACCACCACTGCCAGTCTGCAGTAACCCCTCCACCAACACATGCTGACAATACAGTCTCAATACCAGACTTGCATGGAAATTTAAACAGCTGGTACTGGATTTGGTTGTTGCTGTTAAGACCTCTGCCCCTTCGGATGCTCCGGAGCATTAGCGTGTTCTGGATGATGGTCTGTTGAAATGGCTAATTCCATTTAATTTTGCACCCTGGCTCTGGCTGCGTCCTTTTCTTCCTTAGTTACTGTCAGATTGTAGATTGCAGCTTTTGACAAGACAGTGAAGGGAAAAAGGTCAGCACTGAAATAACCAGGCAGCGCTGGCAGCGAGATGGTAGGTTGGAGCTGGTACGCGCTGGCTGCGCTGTCGGCTTCACTTCTGTGACTCTGATGAGAAGCTGACGGCTTGCATCCACACCTGGTGGTTGATGTGGCCAGTAGGATGCCACATCCAACAAAACCTTTCAATCACATCTGCGTACAGTAAGCGTAATCAAAGCAACGATGCTGTCAAACAGGATACGAGACTCCTCCAGTTTTGCACTGATAGCCTGTTTACAGGCTGTGTGTCTTGGTCACTTTAAATCAGAGGGAATGGGAAGGAACTAACTACCTTTCTCCACACTGAGGACGATAAATTTGCAGAGTCAAAAAGCATTAAGCACCAGATAGCTGTCATAATGGGACAAGATCAATTTGTAAATGGGCTTGCCAGATAGCTTCGTCAGAGTCCCACATGGAAACAGTTTCATCAGCAATTTACTGAACCTCTGGCAAGTCAAAAATGAAGCCAAGATCACCACTAATCACCAACAGAGTGGTAATTAGGAGTTGCAAGAACAGTTACAAGGAGTGGGTCAGAGTCTGCTCTAAGCCCTGATCACGACCGGCTTCCACTGAGCACCACAGAGCCCTCAAGATCTCATACCAGGTTCTAAAAATCAGTAATAAAGCTAAATAAAAGCCAAACTGATTATCACCTCCTCACTCAGGTAAGTTTAATACAAAAAGCACAGAAAGAGACGCATTTCAAGGCTGTAAACAAGCAACCTTTTTTGCTGGAGAATGTGATAATATATCGCAGTCTTCCAAAAGCTCTACTATTTTTCAATAAAAATTTTGAAATGCAAAATTCAATTACATATTTTTTTTAAAAAAAAGAAATCAAAATTCCTAACTTACAAAAAATGAGGAGGAATGTTGCATTTTTAGAAAACGTTATGTTCTAATTTTTAGCCAGCTCTAAGTGCAGGTGTTTATATAAGATTCGGTAGCTAAATTTCTTACCTATATGATATCAGTAAACTACATTAGTTATTACTTAAATTTAAAACGCATTAAAATTCTGAATTACCTCATAGGCTTCAGTATTTTCTGCATTAAAGTCCAAATAAAGTACATTACATAATAGAGTAGAACTATATCTGACTGTCCGGTGAACTGGATTCAGGATCTGGATTCACACTACCATGAAAAATGTTGCTCAATCCCAGGAGAATCCCTTCAGGAGACAGTGGTGGACATAGCTATACAGATGAACCTCTGGGTAATGTAAGTGGAATAATAAAGGATAATAAAGGCAAGCACAAGTGTAAATATTTGCGGCTTCATGCCGTAAAACCTCAGCTAAGGCTTGCAGGACTAGACTCATAATAAAAGCTGTTACAGGCCAGATTCTAGGTGCTGAAGACTGTTTAACAGGACAGTATGCACCATTCGGAGCTGTAGTTTTGGCTTCCTCCTATTTTCAAGCCTCCTGCTGCTATAAGCAAACCATCAAGCACGCAAGATCCAAGTCTTCGTGCCCTGGTGATTCAGCACCACACTGCACTGTCTGCCAGCCTTTGCTGGATGGCTTTGTCAACAGGGACAGAACAAACCTCAGAATTTAAGTGAAACAAGTGCTGGTATTTTGCTGAATCAGCAGCAATACACAGAAACTGGTTCTGCCTGATTTATATTGGTCTTATTTGAAAGCCACAAACACAATGAAAAGCTTTTACAGATGTGAATAATGCAACTTTTTTTTTTTTTTTTCAAAGGAGGGCAAACTATTTTTAAGTGAACTTGTGTATTTTTAATCATGATTATGATAAAATAGTTACTTAGCAAGCCTGGCAAAAAATGAAGTGATTTGAATTCATGAATCAAAGATTCCTTTAAAAAAAAAAAAAAAATTACTCTTGCTGAAATATATCCATTTTTGAAAAGTAAATATTTTTTTGAAACTTTATTTTCTCAAATACTTTAGAAAGATATTTTCAAATTTCCATTTGAAAAATATGGTTTCAAATTCAACTTTCCAATATTAACATTGTTCCAAACAATTACAAGAACACTACTGAAATCCCTCATGTAGCTAAATGCAAATTTGTTGAACAGGAAAGCCTGCAACAAGCTATTGAACAAAAAAATTGCCCAGTATACAAGCAGCAAGGAAAAAAATGAAAGAATGTATTACTATGAAATAAAAAAACCTTTTAAGTACCAAAGCTTTAAAATTATTTTTTATAAACTCCACAAAGATATTTTTAAAAATAAAATAGTTCCTTTTTTAAGTTTTCCACAGACAAGATTTTATCACAAACATCAAAAGACACAAGGACATTTCATTTTAAATTTAAGTACTCATGGCAAGACCATATTGCAATTAATGTGGAAATTAAGAGTGAACAATTTCTCTTTTCTATGATATTTACTAGATTTTTCCTATTTTTCTCTGTTTTCAAGGTCAGCTTTCATGCATCATTTCTATTTTATTTTTATCTGCTCATTTTTACAGTGTATAAGGAAATGAATACAAGACAGTAACATCAGATCTAAATAACCATGCTGTAAAGTCTACCTTCCAGCAAACTTACGGTGTCACTCCTACACTGCTGCAATAGCCTCTTTACTTAAGAGACAAAAACACAGCAAGTGAATTGCTAATGTAAACTAGAACAAATCCATGTTAAATACACTAGACATGAAAAGCATGAAATTATCAACAGCTCCTCTGGGGATTTTTCACGTTTACCATATACACTAACAGTTCTTTCATTGCAAATAAGCAAAAGATTAGTACTTTGGAAAAAACATCAGGTATCTGGCCTATGCAGTTAATTATATCTGGTTCAATAAATCTGAAATTCTGTGAATGTTTTGCAAAATCTTGTTCTAACTGCTGACGAGTCCTAGCAGATCCCAGGAACGCAGTCTTTCCAGACATTTGTGAGATGTCGCCTTTAGACCCTAAGCCACCTCTGGCAGTCTGACTTTATACCACTTCTCTGGGATATTTTGAAAAGCAGTATCCCCCATTCCCTGAGTGCTACCTCAGCCCACTCTCCAAGCTGGCATTCAGATGCAGCAGCTATGTGTTTGCCAGCACCACTTTTTTTTTTCTCAAGCTGAGAAGGGACACACAGAGTTGTAGCCATGGCCTGAGGGGACCCTCTAACACATCCACGGGCTTCAGTTCTGATCCCACATTAGCTACTTACTGACATTTCATCATTGTCATTCATTTGCCTTATCACCCTGTTCTTGTGGAAACTTACCTCCTGCACAAACACTCGATGGTTCAGCCGCTAGGATCTCAATGCAAGATTTCTTGAGAATCTAAAAGATTTAGATAATGGCATTTTTGGCAATCAATCATTTTTATCTATGCTTTATCAATCCAGGAAAGGGTGCCCCTTTTCTGGGTCTCAGAATAGCCAACTTACTGAATCAATGGTTCCTCTTAGGGCATAAAAGCCTCCCGTAACTGGAAAAACATGATCGATGCTGTCAGCAATTGTTGACAGCTGCAAAGAAAGATAATCATAAATCATGAGGAAAACAAAATTACAGTGAACAAAACTGGGCCCTTTCATACTTGCTAAAAGACATCATACTGACATGAAATGATTTATGCCTCAAGTGATTAAATAAATGCCTTCATCTGATGCTGTTACTTGTGCAGTAGTCTAACAGAAAAACAAAACAAGAAAGCAAGCAAAGTTACCTGAGTTTCATTGAAATCTTTCACTCCAACACAATAAACAATAGCTCCAAAGCTTCTGGCTCTGTTGGCCTAAATTAAAAAAAAAAAAAAAAAAAAATTGCCATTAATGCAAAGCCATATAATCAGTGGAGGCAACAGTGAACACCTACAGGTTTGACATAAGATGGTTTGGGTAAACGTGAAGGTGACTTACTTCTTGTTCTGCATAATAAAACTGAACATCTTGCAATTCTCCATCCGTCAGAGCAATAATCACACTAGCGGTCCGAACTCCTACATGGAGAATAGTTAACAGATTGCGTATGTATGACACAAGATTCAGCAATGAAAATAAAGTTTGAAGTGAGGTATTCCTTTTTGCTGACAAAAAAAACCTGCAGAACTGTCAGGCCAGACTCTCAGCCTGATTTGTATGGACTTTATCTGAGATTTAGCAGCTGAAGGTCAGACGTGTAACAGCACGCAATAAACCAAAACCCGTACACCTTCACAAGCATCACTGAAGGGGAAGTACTGCCCTAACAAGGTCCATGCACAAACTTCTCTGTTCTGTGTAAAATATAGCACCTACCGAGATTGCATCTAGAGTCTTTATGGGGACAATTAGCAAAAGGGATCCTGGCAGAGAGGGAGAGGTTTCCCCCTTCTCTTGACAAACATGTCTCTACACCGACCTTGCCCCAAGACTAAGAGATACCCCTGCAAAAGGAGCTTTCCTGCCATCCTACCTTCCCCTCCAGCACTTTCAAAGAGCAACCCCACTGAACATGGCATGAAATGTGCTTCTACAGCACGGTCAGTCCTACACTTCTCAAGCAATAAGAGCTGTCAGTGAAGTTCATAAGAATTTTGAGTGTGTGAAAACCTTAAAATCAGGTCCATTGGAGAAAATTCACATCTTGTGACAAGACATTTCATATCCCACCTAAGCTTAAGTGAAAAGGTTGCACAGACTTTGTACAGCTATATACGTAATGCAGTATAGAATACAATCTACCTAAAAAGATGCAACTTGTTAACAACACTAAACCAAATTAATATGCAAACTATGGTTCAATCAACCATTCTGCATCCATAGTTCTTAAGCAAAGTAACTAATACGCATACATCTTACTTTCAGGGAAGTATTTGTTATTTTTTCAAAATAATCTGTTACAGTTTCAAGTGTCCTTCCCCATACTGTCTGAAATTAAAGACTGATTAGTTCTGACAGGTTTCTTATGCCATGCAGTCCTTCCCATGTCATGTCAGACACAGACATAAATCTTAAAAAAAATGACCTGGACCTTAGGGGGAAAAAATAGCTTGGATTCCCATATTCCTTTTTTTTTTTTTTTTTTTTCCTGCCCAGCATGCTTAAAAAAAGCTGAAAAACTGAAGATCTTATTTTGTTTTCTTTTGAACACTTGTTCCTTCCCTGCTATTTCAGCTTACAAATCTAGATCTCATCTACTCCTTTTTCCTTCCTAATCAACTTAGAGAATAGTTGATTAGTTCTTAGCTACACGTTATGAAAAGATAAATCAGTTTTCAGCTGGACTCTTCAGGACTCTTGATTTCATTGGCAAAAGTGTCTGAGAAGCCACGCAGAGTTGCTGCTGAAGACTCTACACCCGCAGCCTATTTTAATAAAAAGGCACTGACCCATTTCTCCATCTTCCAAAGAGACCATCAGCTCACAAACGATAACAACCTGAAACCAGGGTATAAACCAGGCAAAGAGTGTTCAGTTTAACTAATTAGGCCTTCTTTTGGCACAGATAAAAACCACAAATACATTTCCCTCTTGAAATTTAGTGAAAAATTTGCATTTTACAAACTCAGAATCTGACCCCAAATCACTCACGCTGATGCAAAAATCTCAGCTGATTGCATTCATAGCTACACTAATGAGAATGAGGACTAGGGCACAGGAGGCAGACAGGGCTGAGTGTGTCGGGACAGAAGGGTGCAGGAAAATCTGATGTTCCTGTCCCCTGGGTACGGCGTAGGCAGTTCTGGCTGTAATGCTTTGGTCTGTATTCTGCACTGGGTCAGATGTGCAATTGTACTGGTCTGCTCTGGTCTTAATAAACCATGAATCATGCATTTAAAAGTAGAGCTGTAGTCAAAATGGAATGCGGTGATTGTGTAACATCAATTCCTTCTCCAACACTTCTCTTGGCGAGTTTACTGCAGGTCATATAAAGAACTATCACCCCTGTCTTTTCAGGGCAGGTATATAACATGAGTGATATACAATGCCTACCTCCATAGGTTTCGTGGTAAATCTGCTCATTTGCCTGCAACAAAGTGTAAAACATTGTTAGCTCTTAAGAGCAGCAGCAAGCAAAGTTTGTATGTGTAAATCAAAGAAAGGAGGTACTGTGATGTGTACCCTTTTAAATCCTTCATGCATGAACGTGTCTCCTCCAGGCACTTCATACTGAAGAATGTCGAGCCCTCGTCTTATGGCTTCCCTTTGGATAAGAAAAAACAGGAGAAGACAATTTTATTGAAAGTTCTGGTTTGTTCTGTTGAGATATTCCTGTACCACAGCTAGATTATGCACCCTGTCAGTACCCTGCACAGAGTGCATACACACCAGCTAAAACACTGGTAAACCCAAGACTTTTAAAAAACCTCAATTTTTCAGCCAAGCAACTATGGGAGCACAAAACTGGACCATATAGTACAATGTTAGGGCTAAGACATTTTAAGGGTACAATTCTGTCTCTGCTCCCTCATTCTGGTACACTGTCAGGCAGGATAAGATTGAATGAAAGCAAATGTCAGATATTAAACTCTGACAGACTGCAGATGGAATGAGAATTTTAAAACTTATGACCCTATCATGAAAAGGAGACAAATAAAAACTCGGTATTCCATCAATCATCAGGACAGCTGGGATGAGGACTTTTCCATTACAAAGACAGAGGCCAAAAGATAAGAGAATGGGATGGGAATGATGAGAATTTCCTATCCTGGATCAGGCACTGATCTCTTCTTGGGCCCTGGTAAGAGATGGACTTTGGTACCATGATCCCTGTTGCATAGCATCTTGCTCCACAAACATGTTAGTCAAGAGAATCACTCAGGGAAATTAATAATTTAATTGATCACTAATATAGCCTGATCCTTAGCAAAGTTTTCATATATTAATGGAACACAAATTAAGGCCAAGTCACAAAACAAATATTCAGCAGACAAGATGCAGGAAGTCCAAACGTCAACCCCAGTTGCTATGGGGCATCCTTTTTTAAAAAAGATAGTGCCAGCTTCTCTAAGCTACATTTTGCAGCTGAGCATTTTAGGCAGCACAACCCCGGTAACAGAGGAAACAGGAGTCTATGGGGAATGAAGGTAAAATCAGGAGTTGTGACTGGGGATGTCCTTCGGACAAAAAGCACATTTTTACGCTTTCAAAGTATAAAATGAGCTGAAAAGGCATACACAGCAATCCATACAGAGCACAGGAGTTCAGGACAGGGAACATTCTAATACCATGTTCAACACACTGCCACAGGGCTCCTGTCTACTTTCCACCTTGCAAAGAGCAAATCCACCTGGGACAAGTAAGCAAGTTTGAGCTCTGTCACCAAGATACAAGATGGAGACCTGAGCCCAAACTCAGTGGAGCCAGCAGAAAAGCAAGACCCTTGATGTGGATTCTGGCTTTGGATGAAGCCCTGGAGTACAAAACAGCGTGGGGTTTGTTCCATTCTACTGAAGCTGTCTCACACAAACGGAAGCAGTAGCAAAGCAAGGGCTTTAAGCTGAAATTAAAAGGAAAATACTTAGAAACACCTCTGTGACAGGAATTTCCGCGTGTGAGGCAAATTTTGTTTTGTTTTAAGGTTTTTTTGTTGTTGATGGTTTTTTTGAGGGGGTTTTTTGTGTGGTTTTGAAAAAAGGATTTGGTTATAAAGGTGGCAACAAGAACTTTGCTCCAGCCTCAGACTCTCTTTTTCTTAAGAAGCCTGTCACTCGGCTGCACAGCCACCTCTGGCACAGGTGCTGCATGCAGACAGCCCAGGAGAGAGGTGCGACAGCCTGGCAAGGCAGTGATCCAGCACTGGGTATGACCAGCTGCTGGCATGGAGTTTAGGGCTTCAGGCCACTTCAAAGGGCACTGCGAGAGTTTTATACAGTCTTTTGCTCATCAACTCAGGGTCTGAGATCTCCTGCACATAAACTGCCCTTATTTGGGTAGTTGAAGACAGCAAGAATGTACATGAATCCTTGACTGAAAACAGTTTCTCCCTGAAATAATGCAAGAAAGAACAGACAGTCTGGTACTGCCTTTATCTTATAAGGCTGAAAAAATGGTGCTGGGAGACCCAAAGGCCTTCTAAACCCTCTTCCAGTTGGGAACAGTGGAAAAGATTTCAGTTAGTGCCACACTGGGAACCAAGACAGAGCTCTGAATCCTGGTTTTGGGGCCACTCGTGGCTTAAGAAGAAAGATGGAGAGTATTTCTGGATGAAAGTTGTGGAGTACTTGCCTGTTTTCTGTTAGTTTCATGACTGTAGTGCCTCGTGAAGAAAAAACAATGAAAGACATCCGCAACATTGGACTGAAACAGAAGAACAAGCCAGATCCACATCACAGACAAATTACTTCAGCAGATTTTCATTTGCTAAGAAACAGTGAATGAAAAAAAAAAAAAGTTTTATATATATAAAATTAAAATATCATCTTAAGAAAACTTTACCTTATGAACTTCTCAGCTAGGCTTTCCACAAAAGAGTAAATCTCTGTCCAATGATTTCTGACACTTCCAGACCTGCATACAAAACATAGTTTATTACATTCATCTTATTTCACAGCAAAATTCCTTGTTCCACTCCAAACTTTAAGCCTGGGCTACTCCAAAGGTAGTTAGGGACACAACTTCCCTAATGGCCTATTGAGATGAGGCAGCTGACTCTGTTGAGGCTTCTACAGCAGTTGTGTTAGAAGCTGTAACAGGAACGATCACAACAAAACCCACTGACTCAAAGAGAAGTAGAGAGAGCTCTGAAATGTTTTACCATACAATTCTGAAATAAGTTCAGTAACTCTTCCATCTGTTGTTTTTTTCTTTTATAACATAAAACATAAATATTTTCTTCTAGTTTAATTAATTTGATTTGACTTCACTAAATCATCTGCTAGCAGATTATTTACTTTCCTGAAGCATAGCTCTGCCCTTGCAGCCACACAGAAAGTCTTGACTGATCTCCTATTATCCCAGAACGCGTGGGAGAATGTTTCCATGAATTACTGTTTGTTTCAAAAGAGAAAGCTTTTGAAGTAGTTCCGAAGGGAAAGGCAGTGCTCGTAGCTAATTTGCTGGAATAGCATTCTGGACAGTCAATCCCTGGCTCCCTTACAGATTTCTTGTGAAAATTTGGGCAACTTAGTTATGTGCACAAACTTACACATTTGTGCTGCCATTCCCAATATACAAAACTGCATTACTGGTACTCCCTGGCTTTTTTTCTGCTTTGTGCTACATTCTCAGGGACCCCACAGCCTGGTGGGACTCGGACCTCAAACACAGCTTTGCATGCAGCAACTCTACAGTAAATGATAGGTGATTTCTACCATTTGGATCTATGCCACACACTTTCAAGCCTTTAAAAAGGCTACAGTAAAGCATGAGAAGTCAATGACTTATAAAGCCCTCCCTAGGACTGTGGTGTTTATGAAAGAACAGCTCATTCACTTTCCTTGCCAGGCCAAGTCATATATCAGACATGTTAGGCAGAAGGATAAATAAAACGACAGCACATACAGAAGCACAGCAG